CACATACATATCATTCATATATATATACATATATGATATGTATAAAATATATGATATGTATATATACGCGTATCTCCAGCCCAGGTATAAATCTATGGGTACTCTACCATTAAGCTACACCTCCCCCTCATTTTACTTTTTTCTGAGACGGTCTAAGTTGCCCTGGTGAGACTTAAATTTGATAACTTCCTGTCTCAGCCTCCTTCAGTGCAGAGATTACAGGTATATTTCACCATAACCTCCTGAATATATCAATATTTTGAAAATATATAACTTATAAAATTTATTTTAAACATCTGGATTACTGATAGGACTTTTCTTCTTTGTATACTTTGATGTTAACTACCAATGGCCAGAAGCATACTGTGGATTACTGTGTAGAAGAGGCTATCATAGAAGAGGAGATGTAGAGAACAAGTTAAGGTATCAGAACATGGACAAGGCAAACAAAAACCCTACTCTTGAAAAAAATGTACTCATCTATCATAATAGTTATCTAAGAGCTTAAGGCCAACTGATGTCCCACTCTCTGTACTTGATCTATGTTGGCTAAGTGTACAACTTGAGAAGATGTGATCAGAACCTCTTCTCTGCTTTTCTGGATATTTGTGGTTATCAGATGATGTCTGCTCTAATTGCCTTATTTACATGAAAGAGTTTTCCTAGTAAGTCAATCCTCTTCTTTTACAAATCTTTGGAACTTGTATTCGCCCCCCCATGAGAACAGCAGTTTCTCCCCTCCAAGGCCCATGTGCTTCCAGGCCTACACTTGGTAAGCCACAGAACTGGTAGTTCTGGGTCCTGGTGGCCTTAAAACTTCCTGATATAAAGCTTAGCATCTAAGTGACATGATGATTGCTTTGCCTTGGGTCAATTGCTCAAGAAAAATTGTTCAAACTCCAAGTAATTGAGCAGTCAAAGAGGCAGTCTGACAAAAACCACTAGCAGAATGACCCAGCTTATGAGTGATAATGTGGATGCCTGTTTTCAAAAAGGAAGTGAGAACATCTAAGCACTTATCACAGAACCCTCTATACTTAGAACAATAGCCAATATATTTGCAAAATTTATCAAATATTATTAAGGCTATCAGATGTAAGATTCAATTACAAAAACATCCAGTAACAGTTATATATAAGAATTCAACTATGACATTTTTTTAATCTCTTAATTATTCTACTTATGGAATACAATACTTTCAAATCATCGATGATTATTTCTCCCCTTATTCCTTATTCTCTTGTTCTTACTGGTTTTGAGAATAAACCTTAGTTTCACGTAGCCATGTAACATCACAGTATAATCCTTCTACCCATTTTTTCTAGGCTTTCTGAAGCAGTGTGTTTTATCAAACCTATTCTTCTATAGGCTTCTATTTCTCCTTCCACACCACATTAACAGTCTCCTTCAATATTAGGTTAGAGGAAAAAAAAATTAGGTTAGGCAATCTAGTTTTAAAAAAAAATGTTTTACTTACTGAATTGGCAATGGCATGAATGACTCTTGAAAATCCTACAGCATCATTTAGCTCCTCCTAATTTAAAAAAAAAATCTATTGAGTATATACATATGTATCAAGTTAGCTTTAGTGTCATATGCTTTGTACCCATCATCCTAAATAACTGCCTCTAAAACAATATATGCGCTCACATTCTCATCTTAGGAGGTGGAATAAGCAAGTGAGACATTATTCATTAGGTATGGTTTGGATCTAGTTGTTCCCCCAAAGCCTCACGCAGTCATAGGGCTGTGGGCTTCTAGAGGTTGTGATTAATTCATGATCCTCTGGGATTACCGGTGTGAGTGCTGCACCTGCCCCAGGGCAGATAGCCTGAATGCAATATAAGGAAGCGAGAAAGGCTTGCTCTTTGCCGCTGCTTCTCCCTTTTGGCTCTTTCTGTTTTACTATTTTCTGCTACCATGAACTGCTGCCCTCTGCCATGTGCCACTCTGCCTTAGAGCCAGCTGAGTGTGAAATGAAACCTTCACAAACTGTGATCTAAATAAACTCTTCCTTCCTTAATTTTGGGCATTGGTTATTTTGTCCCAGCAACAGGAGAAAATAACTGAGACTGGTACTAAAATAACAGTGTCTACAGCTTGCCCACAAGTTCATATAATTTGTTGAAATTTCCAAGTCCATCAGGATAGCCTTTTTTAAAACATCAATTTTAAAAAGTGGCCACCTACTGGCTAAACTCAGTGATGCATTACATTCTGAGGAAACGATCCAATAGTTGATTCAGAATTTTTTTCTCTTGACAAATGGCTTTTTTTTTCCAAAAAAATTTTTACAGAGCAGCTGAGATTCATTCCCACTCACTTTCTTCTCTCCTATTTTCTTCCCAACAGTGTTTAAAGAGGTTCAGGGTCTCTCCGACCATGTCCTTAACTCTGAGCCCTATACAACCACTGTCCCTTTCCCATCTTGATACAGCTAGATCGCTTAAATGTTCATTGGTTCCAGTTTAACTCCCAGGTACTCCCAAATTCGCTGCTCTTTGGCTTCAACTTCCATGAAGCTGCTCACCTCCTTAAAACAACCCTGAAGGCTAAAGAATGTTGGAAAGGATGTGAAGAAATTGGAAAGTTTTGCGTACCATTTATACAGCTACTATGGAAGACAATATGGAGGTATCTCGAAAGCAAGCAAGCGAGGAAAGCAAGGCAAAGCAAAGCAAGCAAGCAGATATTTGCACACTCACGTTCATAGCATCATTATTCTAAATAACTAAGCTGATTAAATATCCATCAACAAATGAATGGATACAGAAAATGAGGTGTATCTATATAATGGAGCATTATTGCATTTTAAATAGGAAGAAAATTCAGATACATGCTATGACATGGATAAAATCTCAAGGTCACTGTGCTAAGAAAAATAAGCCAGTTAAAAAACTGTATGATTTTGCTTATATGAGGTACTCAGCTGGTTAAGTTCAAAAAAAGCAGAATGGTAGTTGCCAGGGTAGGGAGAGAGAGACTTGTTTCATGGATAGATTAATAGCCCTACCTCATGAAAACACTTCTAGAGAAAGATGGTTGCAAAGCAATATGAATGTACTTAACGTCACTGAACTGCACTTCAAAACAGTCTTCAGATTTTGTATAATTAAAAATAATCAAAAAGCCTTAAAATGTATTAACCATGGCAAACTACTCTCAGAGTTTAACACTATGGCCATGCCTCAGTCCTTACCCTCCCCTCTCAAGAGCCTCCAACGACTGGCCACCCTTCATCAGACTTGCTTTCTCCCTGGCTGTATGACCTTGTGTCCCATTTGCCTTGCCTCTACCTATCAACAAACACCATTCCTTAGTCTTCTACCTATAAAATCTTGCTCTCATTCCTCATGCATGTGACAGATGCTATGAGCCAGTCCATCTCTCTGTCAATAACAACCATGCCTGGTTCTTACCTCTCTCTTAAGTGTGACACATTTGCAGGACATACTCCTTGGCTGTACCAGATACCTAAAGCCTCACCGGATCAAAAGCAGAATATGTATCTTTTTCCACTGAAAGAGAATAGTCTCACCATGATGCCCTAATGATCCTACACATACCAAACAGGTAGAATGCAGGTAGAATGCCTCAGGAGAGGAGCAGGGAAGAGGCTGACTGAGGTCATATCCCATCTCTTTTGGGAGGCTGTCCAGAGACATTTCCTTATGGCCTCTGGATTCTGGGTTCCAGATGGCATGAGGCTTCATTCTCTAATCCCCCGCCTCCCACAGAGCTTCAGAATACAAAAGCACTGAATTATAGTCTAGAATTCACTCCTCAGTAATAGGGTAGGTACTTGACAAACAATCTAGCCCCTTTTGTTTCAGTGTTGTCCTTTCTGGAGTAGAGACAAGGACCACAGGCAGCTGGCTTGTTTTGTTAATTCTCATTTCTCCACATAGCAAGTTGTCTAAATCTGAAAGTGGCTCATTGTACCTTTAGTAGTGGAGTCATCAGGAATGGTCCAGCCTTAAATATGTATATGCTTGATACCTACCTTCTCAACCCACTCATCACCCCCATTTGTGTCTGCTACCAGTATCACCCAGCCCACCCCATCTACTTAAACTAACTACAATCTACCCAGTTGCTCAATTCTAGCTGGAGCATCTTCTTTCTCCCTTCCTCTTTCACCATGCATACCCCATCTCTATTTTCAACTGTCCTACTTTCCAAGTCTCTACAGTTAGTCTACACTACTAGTCCTCCCATTCCGGTCATCAACATCTCTAGCCAGGTTACTTCACAGCTCAACCAGTCTTATTCACTCTAATCTACTCTTTATACAATAGCCGGGGTGACGTTTTGACAAGGCACATTATGACCACATTGCCCTAATCAATCAGATTATCTGCTCTGAATTATGTAGCATTAGACACGGCAACATTAATTAATGGGCAGTAAAGCTGGGTAACACATCACCTGAATGATCATCAAGAATAAACTCCTCTGTTGTTGTGACAGGACTGAAGATTGATTGACTCTTGAGTCAAGTTGCTTCCAGAAAATTATGTGTTTTGTCTTTTAGAAGGAGCGATACATAGTTATCAGCAAAGTGGATGAAGAAGAACGAAAAAGAAGAGAGCAACAGAAACATGGCACGTTAGGCAAGGGCTCTACTACTGAGCCACACCTCAAATGCCAAGAATATTTTCTTTGAGACAGCTTCATTGGGTGGACAAGTCCGGCTCACTCTGTCAGCTATTTCTAATACTTAAGTTTAACGTTCCCTTTTTTAGCCCATGCTTTTCCATCAATTCACTTTTTCTATGGTAGAAAACCATTCATTAAATTGAATACAACATATGATCTAGAAATCCACAGAAAGGAATAAATAATTATGCTACGCTTCTAACCCAAAAGCACATAGCCTATTACCTGTTCTTTGGCATGTTTCTGTTGCTCTCTTCTTTTTCGTTCTTCTTCATCCACTTTGCTGATAACTATGTATCGCTCCTTCTAAAAGACAAAACACATAATTTTCTGGAAGCAACTTGACTCAAGAGTCAAAATTCTACCATTAATGTTGAGATGATGCACTGCAAATCAAAATTCTGTCTGTACGTTTCCATATTTTCCCATGATTTATTTCCAAGATTTAGCTATGACAGCTTTCATTCCTTTAGTATTGAGGATCAAACTCAAGACCTTGCATTTGCCAGATAGGCACTTATGTGACTGAGCTATCTCCTTGGCCCTTCCTCATGCTTTATTATTTCTAATTAACAGATACAATTTAAAAATATCAACAGGCTGTGAGAAGATATTTGATATTCTCGCTCTCTCTTTTTCTGTGTGTGTGTGTGTGTGTGTGTGTGTGTGTGTGTCTGTCTGTCTGTCTGTCTGTCTGTCTGTCTGTCTCTCTTATACTGGGTATTAACCCAGGGCCTTCACACTGCGATACATCCCCAGCCCAATTTTTATTTTTCTATTTTGAGACAGGGTCTCACTAGGTTAGTTAAGTTGCCATAATTAGACTTGTATCCTCCTGTTTTAGACTGCTGGAGTGCAGGGATTATAGGTATGTACTTTCATGCCTGGCTATGAATTTTTAAATAAACAGTTTTAAAGTAAAATCTCTACATCATATTTTGTGGGCATGAGAAAAAAAACTGAACCTTCCTTCTCATAGATTGTACTCGGTAGCCATTAAACATACAACAAAGCTTTCTATGTCAAAGTTTGAGGCTTATCTTCTAACAAAACTTCTTAAGTTATAAAAGCTCTAGGGCCAGTGAGATAGCTCAGTGGACTAAGCATCTGCTTAGGTAAGTACAGGGACCAGAGTTGGATCTCTGGCACCACATGCCATGTTGGCCCTGCCTTCGGAGTGTACTGGCCGGCCACTGAGTCCAGACATGGTGGTGCACGCCTATAATCCCAGCACTGGGGAGGCTAAGAACAAGAGGATTACTAGGAGTCAGAGCTGTATAGTAGGAGGACCCTGTACCAAATACTGAAAAAAAAAAAGTTACACAAGCTCTAATCTGATACATGACTTCAGAGAAATAACCAAATCACAAAATTCTCCAATTCTGCAAAAGCAGCTCATCAGCAGCCCCCAACACCAATCACTATGCCATCAGTGCACTTTGGGAATATATGACAGCGGCTATGCTTAGGCCTCAGCTTCTACAATTGCTTTTACCCTGCCGATACACCATGAAGCTATTTTATTCACGGGTAGCATTATAGTTTTCTACCAAAGAACACAAATTAACATCTGTATACTTTCAAGTTTGTAAAGCATGTATCTACTGGGTCATCATAAAAAAAAGTAGTGAGGTAGTACAGATCATCATCATCTTGCTCAAGCCCACGGTACAAATGGAGAAGATGAGGTTTAGAGAATGACCCGCAAAGCTCATCAGTTCACAGGTGGTAGCCAACGTGTAAACTTTGATTTTGAAAACATCATTGTGCCATTGTATACGCTTAATATTAGCTATGAATAATTACCTTTTCAGTTTCTAAAGTCTCAATGTGAAGGCCTTTGGGATACCTAAGGGGGAAGAAAGGGAAACTTGTTATAAGATGAGTCAATGACAGCTGAAATCCAAAGCTTTAAAAGCAACTCTATAGCTATAAACTAAGTAAGTTATAAAAATATGAAATAGAGCTGGATATATTAGAACGAACCTGTAATCATAGCACTTGGGTATGCTGAGGCAAGAGAATCCTTGTTGAGTTTGAGGCCAGCCTGGGCTAAATTGGTGAGCTTAAGGCCAGCCTGAGCTATAATACCAAGGACCTACTTCTAAATAAAACAAAAATCATAAACAAACAAAAGAAAATAAGAAACAGCCTGGGGATACAGCTCAGTGGTATGCCTAGCATGCATAAGGTCTGGTGTTTAATACCTAGTAACTCAAAAAAAAAAAAGAAAAAGAAAACATTATCATTATTAGTGAACACTTACAATAAGCCTGTATTGTAACATTCAGCTCACAAGTACTTCTCAACTTTTATTCTTAATTGCAAATGAATGTATTAATTTCAAATTACTTTTTATAGGGCTTAAACATTTTATAAAATGTTCTGCATCTTTAAAAAAATTTACTTATGCTGAGCATGCCTATAATTCCATTGTATGGGAGGCTGAGGCAGAATTACTGTAAATTTAAGACCAGCCTAAATGACTCACGTAATTCTTTTTATATCCCCTTCCTCTACCCCTTCCACTCTGTCCCTACATCTGTTGGTTCCCTTCCCATTTGCAAAGAGATGTACTACACCTCTTAATAGAGTTCATTTATTGCCACACAGTCAAATCTTGCTCATGAATATAACAATGCTGATTTCTTAGCTGAAGCTCTGAAGGTCTCTTCCGGTTGCACAGGACATACAAAAGGAATATCTCTGCTGCTTCACCTGACAGTCTGTCAGCCAAGAAGAAGAGGGATCTGAGCACACATGGAGTAATGTATAAGGATAACATGACAAGAAAGGAGCCTGGGCAAACTAGACTCTTACCTGTTTTGCTCAAAATATATTCCCAGTATGCTTGTCACTAGCATGTTCTAATACAAGAAAATGTACTCTGAAGTCAAATACAGATGCCCATCTATCTGATGTTCAATGTTTTGGGGTCTTTGTTTTATTTTTGTGGCACTCAGGATTGAACTCCCAACGTGCACATGCTTGGCAAGCACTCTGCTACTAAGCTACATCCCCAATCTCTTACTTCATTTATATTTTGAGGTATGATCTAATTGCACAGGGGAGACTCAAACTTACCAGCCCTGCCTCTGATTACCAAATAGCACCACAACACCCTGCCCAATGATGAATGATAGAGTTGAGACAAGTAAATGAAACCAAGGGAAACATCACAAGAAAAACATGCACAAAATCATGCATATTATTTCAGATTTACAGATGTCATGAATCAATCATAGTTGAAACCAAAGTTAAGAACTCCTATTTTAGAGTCTTTTTACCAAGATGGTGCAAAGAGGGGAAAAGGAAGTCCCTGACCCTCCTAAAGCTGAAGCTAAAGCAAAAGCTTTGAAGGCCAAGGCGGCTGTGCTGAAAGGCATCCACAGCCACGAAAAGAAGAGACGAATGTCCCAAGACATTGTGGCTCTGGAGGCAGCCCATATACCCTCGGAAGAGTGCCCCCCAGGAGAAACAAGCTTGACCACTATGCCACCATCAAGTTCCCCCTGACCACAGAGTCAGCCATGAAAAAGATGGAAGACAACAACACCCTTGTGTTCATTGTGGATGTCAATGCCAGTAAGCACCAGATCAAACAAGCTGTAAAGAAGCTCTATGACACTGATGTTGCCAAGGTCAATACCTTAATCAGGCCTGACGGAGAGAAGAAAACATATGTCGACTGGCTCCCAATTATGATGCATTGGATGTTGCCAACAAAATTGGGATCACTGAAACTGAGTCCAGCTGGCCAATTCTAAATAC